TGTGTGGAAGATGTGATCTTCAGTCAGTCCCTCAAGGCTGAGGGACTGATTATCTCAAATTATCTTTATCATCTACTGTTCTTCAGTGTATTGGACTGAAGAAGTCACTGGCTGGCGAAACGTTTAGAGAATAAAGATACACAAATGTTACACAAATGTCTCATTTATTAACATGTCGGCTTTGTTAGTCATTTATATAAATCAGTAGTGTTAACCAATACCGTGACTGGAACAATACACAACCCCACATGGAGAGAGAAACTTACGACGACGTTTTGGTCCGACTTGGACCATTTTTATAATGTAACTTGTAAATGGTACAAATGGAACCGAAACGTCGTGGTAAGCTCATCTCTCCATGTGCGAGTTATTTGTGTATTAGTACCGTTGTTGTCTGAACTAATCATGTTATTCCAGTGCCACACACAACTGTGTATCAGTAACTCTTGTTGTGGTTATCACATTGTCTTCTATGATCACCATCCTCTTATACCATTATTGACAGTGACTGGACTGTTTGGTCAACTGATCGTCCTGATGCAGTCACTCAACACACATCAGGAATCTGAACACTTTATATTGTTCTGCCTATTCAATGAAGGTGACGGTCCTCGTGGGTTTAGTGTGGATTTAATGAGTCATTTAGTTAGCGAGTGTGGTAGGCAACATCTCCTTCCTGTCCTACCCCACGTCCTATACCTTGCTGGCCACTGTAACTTATCATGTTTTCTGATATATAAAAAGTTTGGGTTGACATTACAATCATGACTAAAGGTTCTGACAACTCTCCCACTAGTGCACGATGTATCTAGTTGAGTCTTATTCTTGCTTGTTCAGCGGGTTCTTGAAAGATTGTATTGTCTTTACGCTTACAGCATCAGCGAGTAGTTCATTCCATTCTGCTATAATTCTGTTTGCTAAAAACCTTTGCATACGTTTGTGTTGCACATTCTGCCTAGCAGTTTCATTCTATTATATCTAGTTATAATTACTTCAATTACCTTAGATATTTCGGGTGTTCATTGATGCCAGATTTTGTTTTAACATGTTCTGGTGGCCAGATAAGTATCTCGAGGATGTCAACTCCGGTCAGCTAGCAGCTACAGGGTTGGTACACACTCGCGCACATACATACAGTAGACACAACTCGTTTCTAATGACTCGCAGATGAGTCTTTTACTGCCTCATTAAAGTACTCTATAACTTACTTAAATACCCTCACCTAAATGCTGTGGTTGTTGCCTCCGTGCGCACGGTGAAGAATTTAAAGGTGATCTTCAACTTTCTCATAGGACTCTGGAGAAAATGTCAGTGGTGGCGACTCTCCCTTCTGTCACGTCATTACCATCTTCAGCGCCTCACCTCTGGCGCTATGTAAGGCTCCGTTCTTATGCTTCAGCTTTTCGCTTTTAGATTATTAATAATCTTATTTTTTAAAAGGTTAGAGGAGTAGCCAGTGGAAGGCCTCGGTCAGATGATCAAAAGCTCCAGTGGCGGGTCATCATATGATTAAGACTCGCGTCAGGGAACACTTGTCCTGTTTCCTGGTGAACCTTACCTAACAAGCTTACTTCTGCTGCACATTGTTCAAGACTACGGTGCGAACACTTCACAAAGTTGAGAGACTGACCACCTTAAAATTACTTCAAGGTTGATGGACTGATCTCATAGTTTTTATCTCTCCACTGCTCCTGTTATCTCTATATTCCCTCATCTCTCTATTCTATTGAAGACTAAATGAGAAAAGTACAGCATATACTGCACTTTTCTCAAGATTGATGAACTAAGCACATCGACTCCAGGCTGAGGGACTGATTACCTCAGACTCCACCTCACTGGACTGAAGAAGTCACTGCCTGGCGAAACGTTTCAAGAATAAAGTTACCCAAATATTACACGAGTGTCTCATCAACTTGTCAGTTGTACAAACTATTTATTCACATTCGATGGAAGAAACCCAGTGTAGAGGCGAAACGTTTGGGAAATAAATCTGCCTCAGTGTTGCATATATATCTTACTCATGTACCTCACTACCATAGTTGAGTCATGACCTGGAGTCAACTTGACTCAGGGGTCACATTCCACCAATAGCAAGCACAGTTGTGACCTCTTGTATAGATGATGTTGCCAGCAGGTGGTGGCAGGTCAAGACTTTGGTCCTGGTTGATACACAAGAACTGAGTTGAGCTCCATGGAGCTGAACTCTTCTCCAGGCTGAGGGACTGACCACCTCAGATACTTTTTCTACAAGTTTGATGGACTGACTACATCATCTTCATTTCATTACTACACTTGCTGTCTTTGTATTTGACTGAAGAAGCCAACTGTTGCTCATGTGTCTTAATCTTCAATGTAGGATTATATTCGGAGAATGTTTCGCCCTCACAGCAGTGTTTACCAAGCAGACAGCAGCAGTGTTTACCAAGCAGACAGCAGCAGTTTACCAAGCAGACAGCAGCAGTTTACCAAGCAGACAGCAGCAGTTTACCAAGCAGACAGCAGTGTGTTACCAAGCAGACAGCAGCATGGTACCAAGCAGAAGCAGCAGTATTACCAAGCAGACAGCAGCAGTTTTACCAAGCAGACAGCAGCAGTTTTACCAAGCAGACAGCAGCAGTGGTTTACCAAGCAGACAGCAGTGTTTACCAAGCAGACAGCAGCAGTGTTTACCAAGCAGACAGCAGCAGTTTACCAAGCAGACAGCAGCAGTTTACCAAGCAGACAGCAGTGTTTACCAAGCAGACAGCAGCAGTTTACCAAGCAGACAGCAGCAGTTTACCAAGCAGACAGCAGCAGTTTACCAAGCAGACGGCAGCAATTTACCAAGCAGACAGCAGCAGTTACCAAGCAACAGCAGCAGTGATTACCAAGCAACAGCACAGTTTACCAGGCAGACAGCAGCAGTGTTTACCAAGCAGACAGCAGCAGTGTTTACCAAGCAGACAGCAGCAGTTTACCAAGCAGACAGCAGCAGTTTACCAAGCAGACAGCAGCAGTTTACCAAGCAGACAGCAGCAGTGTTTACCAAGCAGAGAGCAGCAGTGTTTACCAAGCAGAGAGCAGCAGTGTTTACCAAGCAGACAGCAGCAGTGTTTACCAAGCAGACAGCAGCAGTGTTTACCAAGCAGACAGCAGCAGTGTTTACCAAGCAGACAGCAGCAGTGTTTACCAAGCAGACAGCAGCAGTTTACCAAGCAGACAGCAGCAGTTTACCAAGCAGACAGCAGTGTTTACCAAGCAGACAGCAGCAGTGTTTACCAAGCAGACAGCAGCAGTTTACCAAGCAGACAGCAGCAGTTTACCAAGCAGACAGCAGCAGTTTACCAAGCAGACAGCAGCAGTGTTTACCAAGCAGACAGCAGCAGTGTTTACCAAGCAGACAGCAGCAGTGTTTACCAAACAGACAGCAGCAGTGTTTACCAAGCAGACAGCAGCAGTTTACCAAGCAGACAGCAGTGTTTACCAAGCAGACAGCAGCAGTTTACCAAGCAGACAGCAGCAGTTTACCAAGCAGACAGCAGCAGTTTACCAAGCAAACGGCAGCAATTTACCAAGCAGACAGCAGCAGTTTACCAAGCAGACAGCAGCAGTGTTTACCAAGCAGACAGCAGCAGTTTACCAGGCAGACAGCAGCAGTGTTTACCAAGCAGACAGCAGCAGTGTTTACCAAGCAGACAGCAGCAGTTTACCAAGCAGACAGCAGCAGTTTACCAAGCAGACAGCAGCAGTTTACCAAGCAGACAGCAGCAGTGTTTACCAAGCAGACAGCAGCAGTGTTTACCAAGCAGACAGCAGCAGTGTTTACCAAGCAGACAGCAGCAGTGTTTACCAAGCAGACAGCAGCAGTGTTTACCAAGCAGACAGCAGCAGTGTTTACCAAGCAGACAGCAGCAGTGTTTACCAAGCAGACAGCAGCAGTTTACCAAGCAACAGCCAGCAGTTTACCAAGCAGACAGCAGCAGTGTTTACCAAGCAGACAGCAGCAGTGTTTACCAAGCAGACAGCAGCAGTGTTTACCAAGCAGACAGCAGCAGTTTACCAAGCAGACAGCAGCAGTTTACCAAGCAGACAGCAGCAGTGTTTACCAAGCAGACAGCAGCAGTTACCAAGCAGACAGCAGCAGTTTTAACCAAGCAGACAGCAGCAGTTTACCAAGCAGACAGCAGCAGTTTACAAGCAGACAGCAGCAGTTTACCAAGCAGACAGCAGCAGTGTTTACCAAGCAGACAGCAGCAGTTTACCAAGCAGACAACAGCAGTTTACCAAGCAGACAGCAGCAGTTTACCAAGCAGACAGCAGCAGTTTACCAAGCAGACAGCAGCAGTTTACCAAGCAGACAGCAGCAGTGTTTACCAAGCAGACAGCAGCAGTTTACCAAGCAGACAGCAGCAGTTTACCAAGCAGACAGCAGCAGTTTACCAAGCAGACAGCAGCAGTTTACCAAGCAGACAGCAGCAGTTTACCAAGCAGACAGCAGCAGTGTTTACCAAGCAGACAGCAGCAGTTTACCAAGCAAACAGCAGCAGTTTACCAAGCAGACAGCAGCAGTTTACCAAGCAGACAGCAGCAGTTTAACCAAGCAGACAGCAAGCAGGTTTACCAAGCAGACAGCAGCAGTTTTACCAAGCAGACAGCAGCAGTTTACCAAGCAGACAGCAGCAGTTTACCAAGCAGACAGCAGCAGTTTACCAAGCAGACAGCAGCAGCAGAACATACCGTGAATAAAGTGTCCAGGTATTGCTTCTTCTGTCCTTATTATCTGTATCTTCTTGGTATTCCCATACCATCTACTGCTACATAAATTTGCTCATTAATTTTAATCCAGTGGGCCCCTGACTGACTGTTAGAGAGATAAAGATGATTTTCCCCATCAATAACATAAGCTCATCACCCTTACGACTTGGTGTGGGATAGCGAGGTCTTGTGAGAGGTAACGTCAGGGATTCAGATGGTCGAGTGAGTTCACGTCATTCAACGGGAATGTCGCTCCTTTATGCCAGGTGTTATGGCACGTTCTTCTGCCTTGAGGGCGATTTCGTGTCAAGTAACGGATCAGTGCGTAGCAGGCAAATACCCACCTTGTGTCTCATGTGCGTAAGAGTGATTGTAGGGTCTCTTAGCTTGTGTGCTTTATTGATGAGATTTGTGTTTTAATATGACAGAAAGGTGTGTGTGTGCGTGCGTGCGTGTGTGTGTGTGTGTGTGTGTGTGTGTGTGTGTGTGTGTTGTGTGTGTGTGTGTGTGTGTGTGTGTGTACTCACCTAATTGTGGTTGCAGGGGTCGAGACTCAACTCCTGGCCTGGTGTGTGTGTGTGTGTACTCACCTACTCACCTAACTGTGGTTGCAGGGGTCGAGACTCAGCTCCTTGCCCCGCCTCTTCACTGATCGCTACTAGGTCCTCTCCCTCTCTGCTTCCTGAGCTTTGTCATACCTCTTCGTAAAACTATGTATGGTTCCTGCCTCCACTACTTCACTTGCTAGGCTATTCCAATTCCTGACGACTCTATGACTGAAGAAATACTTCCTAACATCCCTGTGACTCGTCTGAGTCTTCAGCTTCCAATTGTGACCCCTTGTTTCTGTGTCTCCTCTCTGGAACATCCTGTCTCTGTCCACCTTGTCTATTCCCCGCAGTATCTTGTATGTCGTTATCATGTCTCCCCTGACCCTTCTGTCCTCCAGTGTCGTCAGTCCGATTTCCCTTAACCTTTCCTCGTACGACATTCCCCTGAGCTCTGGAACTAGCCTTGTTGCAAACCTTTGTACTTTCTCTAACTTCTTGACACGTGTGTGTGTGTGTGTGTGTGTATGTTTCAATGTACGCATGTTCTTTGCCTCCCGTTTTCATAGCTACCAGTCTCACTTTTCAAAGACACTGTGGGGTGAGCTCTATTTCTTGGACCCTCCTCTTGTCTTACTATTGACTGACTAATTAATTCTCAGGTGTACTGAAATTCTTAATGAAGAAGCCAACACCAGGTATTAGCATTCCAGTGTCTTAGCCACCGTCTCCCAGGCGCAGTGACTGACACAGGGATACTGCAGTGACTAACATAGAGATACCGCAGTGACTAAAACAAGGATACCGCAGTGACTAACACAGGGGATACCACAGTGACTAACACATGGATACTGCAGTGACTAACACAGGGGATACTGAGTCACATTCTACTTCTCTGGCTCATTCACATTCTTAACAGCTGCGGAAGGAACAAGTATTTCCTGACTGAGTTTGTTGTGTAAACACTAGTCACTACAACAGCTCCTTCAAGACTTCATGAAGCTCCTTCAAGACTTGCAACTCCACCAGTACTTCCTGCAACTCCTATAATACTTCCTGCAACTCCTGCAATACTTTCTTCAACTCCTACAATACTTCCTGCAACTCTACAATACTTCCTGTATCCGGTATATACGAAACACACAGTAGTAGGCGAGGTTTTGTTGTATGTTGAGTAAAGTAAGACGTTTAAATACATAGTGGAGGTGTGTGTGTGTTTGTCTGGAACCTTACTGGGTGATGATTCTAACAGCTGGTTTCTGTTTGCTAACAAAGGGTTTTAGGACGGATACCGTCAGTGAGTAGGGATAGACAGTAGTACCTGGTGAGAAATGTGAAAGACACTTACATACACTTCATAAATGTCCTGAAGTGTACCTAAGTGTTCTTCCATAAGTGTTACGGTATCACCATACCATTTTTTTCTAGTTAGGTTAAGTTTATCGGGAAATAAGGCAATTGTTTCCTGACGCGGATCTTAGTCATATGATGACCCGCAGCTGGAGGTTTTGGTCATCTGATCGAGGCCTTCCGTTGGCTTAACGGTCCACCGCTTTAAAAAATATGGGTATGAATGTAATCATTATTTAAATTTTTTTTCTAGTGAGTAATGTTGCTTAAGGAACAAAGCACATTTTTGATAGGTTGCTCTCAAGTTTGGAAATTGTCTTCCATGTGTTGGACGTGAGTATTGAGTTGCAGGTTGAGTTACAGGTTGAGTTGCAGGTTGAGTTACAGGTTGAGTTGCAGGTTGAGTTACAGGTTGCTGTCAAGGTGTAGCCTTAAGAAAATTCCCTCTTTTTTGCCTTTCTACATACGAATAATTTATATGTTAAAATGAGTATTTTTTGGCTTTGTTCCCAGACAAGATTTAGAAGATCTTGTCAATGTTGAGAGTGAGTTTGTTGGTTGTCATTCATGTAGATATCTTTACCAGCTCCTCCCTGACTTGTTGACCACACTGGATCTGGATTACATATGACAAATTTTGTGTCATCTGCAAAGAAGACTGGTTTACGGGAGGCAGGAGGTCGTGTCTGGGAGTTGATTAACTGTAGCTAGCACCCTGGAGGTCGTGTCTGGGAGATGAGTCACTGTAGCTAGCACTTTGGAGGTCGTATCTGAGAGTTGATTAACTGTAGCTAGCACCCTGGAGGTCGTGTCTGAGAGATGAATCACTGTAGCTAGCACCTTGGAGACTGTATCTGCGAGTTGAGTCACGGAAGCTACCATCTTGGAGGTTGTGCTGGAAATTTCACTACTAAAGGCAGACATAAGAACGGAGACTTGTATAAGAGGCTTCACAGAGGTGGAAATAGTGTAGTAGTGGTTAGGCCTTGTGTTGTAGTGGGCGGGCCTTGTTAGTATCCGTGCAGTATGCTGGTAATGGTGGTAGTAGTAGTAGTAGTCGTCAATGTTGTGGGAAGTTATGTGGGTTACGAAGGCTTTATGCTGCGAGTAGAACGTGTGTACCAAGATTCCGTGATGTCGCTGTGTCTGATAAGTATAATTACATAACAGGTATATGATAATACCGTCGAGTGGATGAATAAGATACAGTTACAACACCCGGGTATCTCTTGAGAGATGTTTCGTCCTCCACCACCCCATCCCCAGGGGTGCATACATCTCAGTGTATGCACCCCTCGAAAGTTGTGCATATTTCTGTGTATATATGCCGAGAAGTGTGAATCTCCGAGTATATATGCTGAGTTTAATTTGACTGTCTTCTTACAAGGGATGCCGCTGCTATCCTCCCTTCACCCTCCCTCTACACACCTCCCCTCTCCTTACAAGCCTCCCCGTCCCCTACACGCCTCCCCTCCCCTCCCCTTACAAGCCACGCCTCCCCTTCCCCTACACGCCACCCCTCCATTCCTTCTACACAGTGCAACAAAGAAAACAAGCACATAAAGACAGTAAACGCATCAACAAAGACAGACTTAGAGAATGTTTTTATGTTCTTGCAAACTTCTCAAGGAAGAGAAATACTGAGAACAGTGTGAGAGAAATACATCTGCTGGGGAAGGGAAGCTGCGGGAAACGGGGAGGGGGAGGAGTCCTCGTGAGACACCTGTGAATTGCACACTCACGCCTTTGTTTACCTGTGACGTCATTAGCAATATGACTGCCCCCCTTCCCTACCTCCCCCCTTATAGTATCTTCCCTATCCCCCTCCCTCTCCCCTCCCAACGTGCCTCCCCTTCCCTATCCCCTCCCAACGTGCCTCCTCCTCCCCAACCCTCCCTTCCCCTCCTCGGACTAATCAGGAAATGTTTGTAAAATACCTGATCATCATATGTAACACCTGATTGACTAACATGTTTATCTTTGTTACACCAGGTACATGTTACTTTATAGATATTCTTGTTTATTTCTCAGTCTTAAGAAGCTTCGTACACTAAGACGATGAATGTGATAAGGAAAAGACAGAGATAATCTTAATTTCTTCTTGCTGCTTTAAGGCCTAGTTCCTAGGCCTTTTGTGTATCCATATGCTCTTTCGTTACCCTCCACAGGATGTATATGGAGTTCACAATAAACTAACCTCTTCGGCGACAAAATCTAAAATATCTTCTTGCTGTTTCTTATCTTTCAAACAACCTGTCCCTGTCTACCCTGTCAATTCCCCTCTGAGTATTTTGTATGTTGCTATCATATCTCTCTCCTGGTTCTTCTATCCTTTAATATCGTTAGATTTAATTCCATTAGTGTATCATCATAGCTTATTACCCCTTTACTCAGAAACAAGCTGTGTTGCGTACTTGTGCACTTTCTGTAGGTTGTACAATGTTTCTTCAAGTGTGGGTTCCATACTGGTGCTCCGTACTCCAAGATAGGACCGACATATATTGTATGGGAAATGCTCTTTGTAAAGATTCCTGAAGGCCTCTCTTAGATTTGCAAGGCGAACATTGGCTACAGAGGTGTTAGTTAACGTGAACCTCTGGCGAGATGTTAGGCACTATGCTCACCCCAAGGTCCTTCTCTCTGAGTGAGGTCTGGTCCCTCTATCCCCCAAGACTATACACCGTGTCCGGTCTTCTGTACCCTTCCCCGGTCTTCATGACTTTGTATTTGCTGGGGTTGAATTCAAGTAGCCGCTTATCTGACCAGCCTTACGGTTTGTTCTGGTCGATTTGTAGCCTTCCCCTGCCATCATTTACGGTGGCCCGTGGCCTGGTGGCAAAAGCTCTCACTTCACACGGTGAGTGTCCGGATTCGATTCCCGGCGAGGGGAGAAACATTGGGCGTGTTTCCTTACACCGGTTGTCCATGTTAACCCATCAGTAAAAATGGGTACCTGGGTGTTAGTCGACTGCTGTGAGTCGCATCCTGGGGACAAAACTGACCTAATTTGCGGGAAATGCTCAGCATAACAAGCAGCTATCTATATAGTAGTATGTCACTGATGTCAGCTATGGTCTGTATACCTTGTACATGTACCTATAGTAAATAAATATATATTATATGTTTATATCTTTCTCATCAGTTTTACAGCATCAACAAACACGGATACATCTTTCTGTCTCGTGTGTGTGTGTACTCACCTATTTGTGGTTGCAGGGGTCGAGTCACAGCTCCTGGCCCCGTGTGTGTGTGTGTGTGTGTGTGTGTGTGTGTGTGTGTGTACGTGTGTGTACTCTCATTACAGTACGAGGAATGCGTTATCTCTTGGTGGGGGTGGGGGTCAAGGTGCCAGGACTGGGCAGTGGTGGGAAGGAGTGATGAGTGGGGGGATGGGG